TGCTGGGTAAAGCTGAAGGAGTCCATAAGGCTGGAGACATTCATGTGTTCCCTTTGAAACTTTTTAGACACGTCCTTGGAACATAAGGACGCTGTGCCTACATTTCAGATCTATGTGTTGCGCGCTACACTTCCAGAACACATTAACTCTCCAGTTCAGATCAAGCCGGACAGGAAGTCACACACGAAAGCAGTGCAAAACGTCTCGAAATTTTCAAAATAAAGTCACACGCAGATTTCCAGTTGCTTAACAAGCAAAAAACATGCATCATTTCATGTCAAACCTCTGTGGCAGAGGTAAACAGAACAGGAAATAAACCACAGACTTTTTATGGATTCATGCAGCCATCTTTTTCCTTGCTTGTTATCGTGTAAACTTCCCAAATCACGCGTGATGTAACAATTTTCCGTTATTATGTCATGGAACTAGCTGCATGGAACAGTTTTGCTCCAAATTTGCATCCGAAACGCTCTCAGTGAAAAGGCAATGGTTTATATATAACTGACTGAAACTGTAATTCTCCAGTACATAAAACCATTTAGTTATAAGGTCAGTTTATGTGAAGTCTGGAATCTAGTTTAAGCATTTTCAGCCTTTTACTATTACATAAATGTTTTAAGCAGATCATTTCTGGACAACCTTTGAACTCTTTCTCAGTTTTAACCACAAGGAGTCATCATGTTCTCTGCCTGTAACACCGTAAAGCAGCACGTGATTCAGCCTGCACACAAAACAGTACCCACAACTGCTGCTCAGAGAGACTCAGTCCAGTTTTACAGATACAGCAATACTCGGATCCCTTTTCTTTTACTGCGCACTCTCATGGCGGGGTGTTAATTGCTACACAACACATGTTTATTATGCTGCGTCTAGATCCACGCCAGATTGAAACACCTGCAGTCCCAAACATACATGACAACCTGCGACTCTCGTTTTCAGAGCCAAAATAAGCCTGTTCGCACATACGTCTGTTCAATTCATGAGCAAAGGCAAACGAGTGAGGACAAGGACACTCGCACACAAACATGAGACGGGGTGAAGACGACACGCAAAGCAGAAAGTGTGGGAGATGGAGTGTGAATGAGAAGGGAAGAGACGGAGGAAGTGAAAGCGAATCAGAGCGATGACAGCTTCCATCTGCTGGAGAGCTGCTGATGGTTTCCCTCAGACAGAGACGTTCACTTGGATCAGGATGTATGCATACACACGGTAATGAAGTAATGAGTGCATTTAACAGAAGTGTGTTTCATAGCAACGATTACGGGGGAGGAAAGTTGCCCCATCATGTGTTGGAGGGGTCGATTTTATAAGCAGCTGCAATTCATCTCACTGGGAGAACAGGGATGCCTTTCATACGTAGACAGCTAAGAGAGAGGCAGTAAGGCAAAGGCAGCACTTTGTGCATCAAATACGACAAACCGTAAAGCACATATGTACATTTGTATTCCAGGAAAGGCTGGAGTGGCTGCAAAGGGTAAAGCAGGTGTGATGAGTTCATTGGTTTGACACTTTGACCCTGAGGTGAACAACCAAGGCTGCCTTTTTCTCTTTTTCTCACGCAAGACCTGATCTTGTCACGGATAATATTTTCACCCATCTTTCTGCGCGGTCACGTCAGCACACTGATTCTAACGAAAAGGGATTTTCGCCTACCGCTGACTTCTTGCAGTACAGGTGTGTAAAAAGCCTCTGGGGTGACAGTTTAATGCTGCATTCATGTCAAATGGGAAAGATGGGAGAAATCAGCCCCACACTGGAATACAGCTTTCACTTCAGATTCTGCATCAAGCTGGAATAAAAAGGGTACCAGTAAAACACCTTTCACCTCATCTTTTCTCATCTCAGAATGACTGATACTGATGTTAGGAGTTCTTACAACATCCATCTGTTTTATTGTACTGTACATTGCACCATATCTTGCTCTAGCTCCAGGGAAAAAAGAGAAACTTCACAGAAGACGGCAAAACACAAGAGAAAACCAGAACTTTGACTAATTTTGGCACAATTATTAATTATTTTGAGACAAAGAAACAAATAAGCCTAAAATGAGTTGTGTTAAAATTGGCAGGAATAGCAAGCCATCAGAGCCAATCACGGATGACAGTCATGTGAGCAGCCATTGTTTTTAGTTAGGTTTTAAAAATAAGCTCACCAAATAAATAATTCACGCTCTTTAAAAGGCAAGCTTCTGGAACAGGAATAAAGATGGAAAAGGCTCTATTGTGTGTTCTGAAGCTCGCATCGCTTGTAGAGTAAACTCTGACATCGTTACGTTGAGCCTAACATTTAAAGTTAGTTAGATTACAAATAATCATTATTAATATGTAACTAGATCAGATCTGAGCAGTGGCATCAACAAGAAAACAACCTTTTCCATTTAACTTACTGGCCCACTTCTTCTCTTGGTTTATTGTGTTTTTGAATATTTAAAACTTTATAAAAACATGTTTAAACCTCACCTTTTGCATCTTTTTGCAACACATTCTCATTCCCAGCGCGTCAAAAGCAAACGCTTGGTCAGCCACCCTCCGCCTCAGACCCCTGACGCCAAAAGTGCCCTTTTTCATTACTAATGTGCGAAAAGGGGTTGTCCCCTTTTCTGACTGCAGATCCCAATGCAGCGTAAAACTGATACGATGGGATGTCCGCAGCCAGGGCACCAAACAAGCTCATTGTACCTCACTCTAACCTTATCCTCTCATTTAACCTTCCCCTCACCCCTATCCTAAAATTAGCCATCTAGCTAGCAAACACGTTAGTGATGTGTCGATCGCTCTAAAAGCCGGCTCTATGAAGTGAACGGCGGGAGCCGCCTCGTTATTGGTCGAGTTTTGACCGAGCCAATGCGAGGGGGAGGTTTCAACTACCACGGTGGAGGTTAAAAGTAGAGGGTATGTGTAACCTCCCCCTCGCCAGATGGTATGTTCTAACGTTCCCCTTGGGCGGCAAAAACGGAAATTCACAGTCAGAATGCATGGGAAACAAACGCTTGATCACAGTGAGAGTAACGTTTTAGGTAGCAAGAGGGTTAAGGTTAGGATGAGGGAGAGGGTAAGGTTATAAATAATGAAACGTTAAGGTTTAGGTGCGGTTAAATGAGCTGGTTCGGTGCCGCATCAGCGGATATCCCATCACGTCAGTTTTACGCTGCATTGGGATCTGCAGTTACAAAAGGGAAAACCCCCTTTTCCCACATAAGTGACAAAAAAGGGCACTTTTGGCGTCAGGGGGCTGACGTGGAGGGTCGCTGACCAAGCGTTTGTTTTTGACGCGCTGGGAGTGAGAACGTGTTGCTTTTTGTGCTGCCATGTGGTTCTCTCAAGCCTTTATAAACAATTAAAACCTAAAAAACAAGTTCATTTATTTTCCCTCAGTGTTTGATTTTCGGAACCATGTGCCAAAAATGATCCATTTCTAAATGTCATTGTGATGTCACAAATGGGAAAATTAGCATAGACCCACCTCTCTCCTGGAGGAGAGAGCTCATGCTGGAGGAGCAGCGGCTGTTCTCCGAGTCCCTCCCAGACATGGAGGTTCTCGAGGTGGACGTTGCCAGCTCCAGCTTGTTTTCTTAAAGTGACAGAGCCCTGACCTGGTTCATTCTGGCAGGTACTAAAAACGTCAGGAAAAAAACGGCTGAAATGAATTCACGTGAGATGGATTTACTGTAAAATAAAATCATAAACATGTTTTGTATCGGCCATAGAACTATCAACCCTTAAGAACATAATATTTCTCCTCCAAGGGAAAAGATGAACTTTAGTGATTTGCAGCATTAATTTTACATATTTGGACATATATTTTTGTCTTCCTTTGTATGAAAAGCTTCTGCAAAAAAAAAAAAGGCGGTCAATATTCCCTAACTCATAGTTTGTTGAAAATCATGATATAAATACAGAAATTCTGTTATGGTTTTTGGTTTTGGTGTGCCACCCCAAAGATTAGCAGAGCCCTTTTTAGTTCTCCTTTGATATTTTTCTGGACGCGCCCCTGGAGGATGCATCCACCATGCAACTTAAACCCACCAGCTCCCACCTTTTTGTTGCCCATGTTTTAAATAGTTTTATTACTTTGCAGACTTGTGTTCAACAAACTCAGCTATCAATATTTTCAGCAGAGACACTTGTTGTGGATCATTTAGTACTGATTATAACGGCAGTAAAACCTCATGTAGCCAAATGAGTTATTATAGTTTTATAGCTGCTATAAACGTATAATGTGATGTGATGCACATGTAATCAGATTGTTCGCTGTGATGCTGCAGCACATTACATGTAATTGTGTTTGTATGTATGTATGTATGTATGTATGGCTATACTGGAACAGAAATAAATAGAGGAAATCAATTCAAATTAGATATCAAATATATTCCTACATATGGGAACATTTTTATGCATTTTGCAGTTTCAACAAATAAGACAAATAAAGTCATAAAACAACATATATAATGCTGTGATTATGCTTAAATGCAACTTGAATTAGATTTTTAATGTTTTTTTTAACAAAATGTAACCAGTAGCTTTGTTGCTATTTAACAATTCATTGTTGATTTATAGTCAAATCAAAGTAAAGAATGTTGAGAATGAAAGTGTGGGTTGCAGGTCTGTGACTCCAGCTGAAGCCTGTTTTACAAGGTGGATGTATTGATCCGTACAAGCTCCGTCCCGTGCAGACCTGGCTGCAGCAGATCCTGCAGATGGGCTGAATGACATCCAGCCTGAAAACCTGTGAGGTTTGATCAGCTGAGCCACTGAGCAGATGTGTGATCCAGATTTCTGTTTCCCCTCAGATTACCCTTCACCCGTTAGGGTCACTGAAGGAATACAGCGCTAGACTGCGTTGTCCCAAATCTGACAACCATCTCACACAGCGCGAGACTCTCCCAAAAAACACACGACATATTTGGCTTTAAAATGACGTCACGGCAACGCGGGGCTCAGCAGGCAGGTCGTTTGTCAGTCTGAGAGAAGAGGAGCAGCAGAAGGAGACGGAGCATCATCCTCTCCTCTGATGACAAGCTCTCATCCCCCCCACCCTTCTCTCTCAACTCCTCTGGAACAACCTTCATCCTTCTGGATTCTCCCTCGTCGTGTCCCTCATCCTTTTTTTTCAGTTGTTCTTTTTTTTCTTTTTTACTTTCTCAAACCTCTCCACAGTCCTCAACACCTCCAGAGATGTGAGTAGATTATAAGGAGCCCCTGCTTCCGGTGACTTGGATCCTCCGCGCTTCAGAGAGCCCTACATCCTCATCTTCGGCTCTCTTCTCTCTCCCCTTTTTCTATGTTTTGGACGCTCGTCTGCCTCCCAGCCAAGTAGATGATGTGCTGCCACTTCAGCGGTGAAGATGCAAACTCCTTGTCCTGTTTTCCTTCCCCGCTTCCTGCGTGCGTTTGCCTTTCCTGTCGGGAGGTGGGAATGAATTATTTGCGTGAAGGCAAAGTTTGAGGGCACCTCTCCTGTTTTCCAGGCTTACTTGTCCACCTGCTTCTCTTTATTTTTCATAAATATTTTAAAATTAATTTACAAAGAAGAGCGTTGGCAACAGATGAACAACTTCTAAGACACCTGACTGCTGTGGTATTTTGCATCTTTTTTTACGTATTTCACGGAATTTGGTTGCGTTCTTGGATGATTTCTACGTGCGCAACGGTGACGGATAAGGCTTAAGCGATGTTCGCGATGACAGCTGGAGCAAGGTCCGTAACTTAGTGTTTTTCTCAACCACGCATTGCCGACTTTGGTGGAAAGCCGTCCAGATGGGAGGCTACCTGGAGGACTGAGTCGGATTTGGCAGTCGAGAAAAATGTGGATAAAACGAAGTGTTGCGCGCAGGTAAGACTCCTCCTGAATAAACATCAGGGAGGTGAAAAAATGCTGTCGGGGAATGATTGGGGCGAGCTGGGAAAAAAACATCTAGATTTCATCTTTGTTTCTGCTCTTTGACTACATGTCTCAGTTTTTAATCCTACGCCACGGCAATTTATGAGAGTAGGCTGCAGCTGATTATCTTTATCATATCCGAGAACGAAGACGCGCGCATTTTGGAGACACTGAAGCTCATTTTGGCACAGAAACGGACAAATAAACTTCTTGTTTTCATAGTAATTAATATGTACATGAAAGGACTGAATCGATGGGCTGTCGGGTGATTTTTAAGAGAAATATGATTAGTTATTTCACATATGGAACGCTAGGAGTCGCCAGAAGTACGGCGCATGCAACGCGCGCGCTCCAAACATCTTTGCGCGCATGCACTGCCTCAAGGTTAGGTTTGGAGGGAGCTCTTGCTCACCTGCGTGAACAAACACGCGCACGGCGCGATCTTGGTGTAATTAGAAGGGAAAGTAAAAGCAAGTGGTAGAGAAAAGTACATATATGACGTTTGGGAAGTTTTATTTTTACATGTTTAGAGTTGAAAGGTGGAAAAGTTGACTTTTTTAGGTTGTGATGGAGAATAAGCATTTTTTAAAGTGAAGAACATGAGCTGAAAATGCAGGTTTGTTGATATTTTACTAAATATTATATAATTCTATTTTTTTCTTAGATTTCTGAGCAGAAATTCCTCTTTCTCCGAACAAAACCCCAGTAATTTCCTCTAAAATAGGTTTAAATGGAACGCTAAACTGTGCCGTGAGTAGAAGAGACCTGCCTGTCCACCTGCTGGATCTCCTTTCTGCTAGTAGCTCTAATTCAGCTGAAGACTTCATGCATGACACATTCTGCACATCTCGGGCTGACCTCACACATGGACCTCACACGTTAGTCAGGGCGATAAAATTAATACACGTTCAGGTCTCCCATCTCAGAATGCACCACTCAGAAGCACAGATAAGCTCCACTCAGGAATCTCTTTGTCACTTACTGACTTCACGTGGAATGATGGGAAAACTGGAGCTCCCATTAAACAGTTTCTCATCACAGGCCAAGAGCTTGCACCGTCATATGTTACCAACTCGTGGATCATCCCAGGTGAAGTTTCACTCTCCACCCCTGGGTTTGTGCTGAATTAAAATAGAGAGAGTTGTGTGCAGTTAAAGCTCCTGTACCTGTTGGAAGAGAAAGAACAAACCGCCCACAGAAAGCAGACGTGTGGGCGTAAGTGCAACAACACTGACTTCAGCAAACCAGAAGAAAAGCACTGATGGAGAGATACAACTCAGGCTTCTCAGCTTCCTTATGGCTTGTGTTTTCTGTCTGGAAAGCCTCATTAGGACCATCTGTAAATGAAGTCTGGATGATAATGATTTTATCATCATCATTACAGATTTTAATTGGGGCGTTGATGCTGTAATCTTATCAGATTTATCAGAATGAACTCCTGCCCTCTGCCCAGCAGAGTGGTTTCAGGAGATTCAGGTGGAAGTGACCTTTCTGTGTGTGGTTGTGTCTCCAGTGAGGTAGTTGTTTACATCTGTGGGTGGGGAACAGTGTATGTTGGTTGCATAAAGTGTAGTTTAAAAAAAAATGTACACACACGTTAAATAATGTCAGTGTAAATGAAAACCCACCTGCTGCCAGGTCTCATGTTTGTGATTTATTGTTAATATTTTTTAAGAAACATGCGTTTATTAATCATCCGCCATCCAAGTGTCTCAGAATTTAGGATTTGAGGATGAACCCATCACAATCCGTCACTGTCGGAGTCGCTGGCTCCATGTTCATCTTTCATGAACATCACATGGATTTCAGTTCCCCGTGGTGAGCTGTAGTCCCACACAGGAGATGCTACCAGGTTCCTGAAGACGACGGCTGCATCATGAAGGAACACCAGCTGTCTTTGACAAGGACTCGTTTAGAGAGGTTTCTTAAGTACTACAGATTCATGAGGAGTTTTACTCTAACTGAGGGAATGTTGTTAAAAACAGGAGTTTTGTTCATCTGTGATCACGTATCGGTGTAACTGCTCTTTTAAAACGAGTTTAAACGCTAAATAAAATCCATTCTGAACATAAGAGACTTCATAAACTGTATTATATCAACAGTCTAGAGCGGAAAGAGTTAATGTGACCAGAACGTGGCTTTTACATGAACTCCAGCCCCACTGGTGACAGGAGTGCATCTAGGGTGGGCGTCAGATATCCAGATCTTCCTATGATTTAGGTGCCATCTTAATAGTCTCTATGAGGGTTATTAACTGGGCCTCTCTGGAGCGTGATTAACCTAATTTGCAGTGAAATAGGCTGTGTTGCTTCTCTGAGATCCTATCCTCTGGGGGCGTGTGAGTGTGTGTGTGTGTGTGTGTGTGTGTGTGTGTGTGTGTGTGTGGATGTGTGTCTATGTACGTATGTGTGTGTGTGTGTGTTGTTAACACCCTGTGCTCAGCAGTCTGTTAAATCCAGAAGGACCAGAACAGGTTGTCCCTGTGTAACAGCGAAAGAGACAAAACAGCATGGACCACTGTGGCTCATTTGACCAGACTCGAAATGCCACTAAGAGAGAAAAAACAGGGATGAAAAAAGGTGTTGAGTGTGTTGTTAAGGATAAGGGTGAGCCATAAATGATGTAACGCTGACTGGCGGAGCTGCGTGTGAAAGGAAAGAGGCAGATTTAGAAAATAATGGCAGTTGAAGTTCACTTTCTGACTGTGACTGCATATTGGATGTTTGAGAGGAGATGGCTGGAGATTTGTTTACATGGCCTTGGGACAACTAATACCACTGGGGTACTTTAAAGGAGCCACTGTGGTCAAAGTAGAAAACAAACAGTAGCTCAAACTGCATCTATAATGCATTTATTATGACGCAAACATGGCAAAAACAGACTCTGACATTTTGAAATAGAAATCAAATTTACAGACAAATAAACTGCATCATTATTCAGCTAAATGCCCGACTCACAGCTTATTAGTCATGTTTCTGCCTGTTTCTGCTCTTCTTGTTTTTAAACAAAACAAGGAACTAAGGAAAGTTCAGACATACATTTGATTTGGTAGTACTAATTTAGGATGAGCGAAAGAGTTAAAGGATTATGAACAGTTAATGCCTCTGTTGTAAATAGTCATCTGAACAACCAAAGGACTTGGAGTGGGGCCAGTTCCAGAATATTTCTGCTGTTTTAAAGCACTTGAAGCTATTGCTTTCAAAGTGGGTTTCAGTGATTCTTGAGGTAGAAACTTGAGCAACTTCACATTGTACAGCCCTCTGCTGACCAGAAGCTTTATGGCTGTTGGCTGTTTACTATGCTGATTGCTAATACAAAGACTAGCAGTTAGCTTTTTAGTTCACCAACTGTCAGTATTTAGCGCAAGAAGAGGAAGACGTTTGCTTTTTTGTTGCCATCATGGAAGTAAAAGTAAGAGAGTGATGTCTTTGCAGATGAAGCAAAAAGCTAAAACCAGAGTGAACATCGGTGCAGCCTACGCTTTTTTGAGGGAGTTAAAGGAGGCTACAAAATCATGGACTGATGGTGACCTGACTTTGTTGCTTCTGGATATTTGATGAATAATATTTTTTGGATTCTTCTTCTGGATATTCTCTCTTCATGGCTTATTTAGTATAAGTTGGCTCATGTTGGTGCTAGCTACAGCATGCAGCAGAAGGGTTGTTTTATGACAGTTGTTATTGCACTTTTAACCTGTAGGGGTGAGAAGCGGGAAACTTTTTAGTGTAGCTTTTCTAATCTCAAAGACTTCGAAGCAGGACTTGAAGACATTTCATAAACTTCATGGTGGATACATTTAAAAACATTTTTTCATTGCTCATTTATATAGGATTCTGTGGTTATTTGAAGTGGAGCTTGGCTGCAGAGCTAGCTACTTCTGCAAACCTGGAAGACATTTCATAGTAATGATTAGGGATGAGCGAGTACACCACTATCTGTATCTGTATCTATATCTGTATCTGTTCAACCAACTAAATTATCTGTATCTGTACTCGAAATGGGCGTGGCATAACCCGGAAGTGGGCGTGGTTTAACTGGAAGTGGGTGTGGTTTACATCAATATATAATTTTAAGTCTGAAATTGATATGAATTGATCAGAAGTTGATATATGTATTGTTTATTTGAAAACTATTTACAGAGCAGCCTCAGAATTGAGATTAAATATTTTTGATCACAATAGTAAAGGAACTATTTCAGAACAAGTGTGGCAATAAAATCAGAACATTAATATTTAAGTGCATGGATTAATACATCTGAACACATGCAGTAGGAACTAGGAAATATGAAATGCTAGAACCAGACACAACTTTATGTATATTGTTTTATTTTAATTTGATTAACAGATTTTTTTCTTAACGTTCTTGGCATTTTGCCACACAAAGTTAAACAAAACAATGCTGATTAAGGTGTGTGTGTCTGAGAGAGATAGAGAGGGTGAGAGGGAGAGAGATGGAGTTTAAAAAAAAAAAAAACCCGACCGGAGCGGAGGTAGTGCACGTCAGCTCTGTCTTGTCAAATGCACCAGGTAAATTACGAAAAAAGTAACTTTAAATATTCAACCGACAAAGAGGCGAGATGAAGAAAACCTAGGGAAAACTGAAGAAACGTGAGCAACAATGAAGCAATTACAGCGAGATCCGTTACTGTCTGTGTGTGTGCGTGGATGAGCCGGACGGACTGCGCTCCCGACCGGCTAGAGAGTTTTGTGTGCGGACGCTCTATGTGACTGGCCAATCACAGAGCGTGAAGGCAGTCAGTTACCCAATGAGTATTTTCCTTCAGCACGATTACAGATATTTACGAGGTTTGCTCGTTTCATGCTCGTATTCGTAAAAATGCTTTATCCGTACCGGATACTCGTCTGAAACGAGTATCCGGCTCATCCCTAGTAATGATAATAACCATGAAATGAGAATTGTATTGCTATGTAAAGTTTATGCATAGCATTTGC